TTTTTTCCCTCCCTCTCTCTCTCCCTCCCTCTCCTCCCTCCTCCACCCATCCCCCATTCCCATCGGTGGACGTCATCCCTCCCCGCCGCGATCACCTCTCCATCCTCTCCTTCCGCCTTCCTGCCCCACGTTGCCACTGTCTTCATCCGAATTAATCGGTATTTAGCGCATTTTCCAGTCCCCATACAGCCACATGATAAACTCCATTATCGCTGCTGTATGTGGACTGCAAGTTGCCCCAAATACACCCACCTGCAACGACCGTACGTTCGGGGAAAGACGAGACGGTACTCGACGTGCCTTTCCCGTTTTTCTCTTCATCTTCTCCGCTTTCACACTTGGGACTTTTTGCTCTGAACTCTTGACGTGATCACGGTCTGGTGCATCCAAGTAACGGTCAGGTACATACTGTAAATTCAGGAACGTCGTCCTCCCGTCTTCACCCGAATTGAACGCCCGGTCATTATCGCTGTATCTAGACCTAAAGGTGCCCGAAATACAGCTATAGCTATAATGACCAGGCGCTCTCTCTATTCGGGGTGAGGACGATAGTCTTAGTGTGTCTACTGCCTTCGAGCTGGCTGGGGAAGACCGCCCCGTAACGACTGATTCACACAGTCTTTTCGACAGCTCACGCTTTCTTAATGATCTGTGCGCCGCTGCACTCCCATATTGAATTCATCTCCATTCTTCATCTCCATTCTTTTTTTTTCTTTTTTCTTTTTTTTTTTCATCTCCATTCTTCATCATCATTCATCTCCATTTCCCCCCCCATCCTATTTCGAACAAAGGAATCGAGTTTTCCAGAACATGTCGACGAGGGCGCAGCGCCTCCTGTGTCCTCTTACGCACGGCTTCACCATAACCAAAGAGGAGTTGCGCCGCCAGGATTACCCCGCAGGCGAGTTAGCGTCTGTAAATTTGTCCATGTAGAGGACCTGAGCTACGTGGGCTCCGGGGGGAAATTGAAGACAGACGATCGGACGAGAACCGATGACTTTAAACTTGCATGTTTTGTTATTCGGG